TTGAGCCAGCCCGCAAGCTTGCAGATACTATAGACGCGTGGCTTCACTCGCTCTATGGCGTATAGTAGATTCTTTGCCTCGAAACGTGCGACGAGTATCTTGGGGCCTGCATGGTCTTGACTATCACATTCTCCAACCTCCAGTATATCGATATGTGCCGCGAAGAGGCTGTTCGGGGCGAAGTTCTCGTCGGCGGAGATGTCGAGGAAGGTCAGAGGCAGCTGGGAACGTCCAATTACTCGTACGGGTCTGAAGGTGGTGGGCTTATTTTTGTACGGTGAGCCAGAGTGCTCTCTGATCGTGAACGGCTTGGTGAAAGCTCCGAGACCGCAGAGAGAGTCTCTCGTCTGCTTCGAGGGCAACTGGGCCTTGGATTCGTCGCGTTTGGCGGCTAGTCGTAACAACTGCGTGGGCGTCTCAGAGGCTGAATGTAGCATTGTCTTCGTTTGCAATGCGTAGGTGGACATCGGAACTACGCATGGCTATCCGTGTCGTTTGTTGTGAGTGCTGGCGGTGCCTTCCTTAGCAGACGCGTTTCGGCAGTCGCGAATCACGAAGGGTCGTGCGCCCTCTCCTTCCGCGCCAAAACGTCATTCCCGCACCATCATCTCGATCGATCAGCCCGCGACTAGTTTTAGGACGATCCGGATGTCATTTCATCACCAAGTGTTGTTTTAACTTTCCGATGTTCTGCTGCTGGGCTTGAGGACTAATTGCCTGCATCGAAATTGACGGGAACCCGATGGCACGCGTTCACAACCGCGTGCAATGCTTCCACGTGTACATGCCTATCAGCATTAATAAATGTATTGCGACATGCAGCCTACATTACCCCCGGGAAACCAGGTACCCCTCTTTATCCTCATGGATTACCTGGACTTTACCATGTCTCCATGTGGCTGGTAACCAATAGATACGTAGCTCACGCGGAGGTCATAGTTTCCCTCGGGCCCCTCAACAGACGGACGCGGGCGGGAACCATGGGACCTCTGAACGTTATTTCAGTGAAGCTCCTCGACTTCTTTCATCTCTAGGCGTAAGACTTCACGTTTGACTGACCTAATTGTGAGAACAACAGCCCGCTGCAATTTCTCAACATAGCCTCAGAAACCCTGCAGCCTCCGAGACATCCCGAGGTCGTTGTTGTACCGTCCAGATGAGATTCATAGCACTGGCGTTGGGATTTGCTCGCATCTCACTGGCATCAGACTATTTTGAGGTATCATCAGGAGACTATCATCCCTTCGCTCCCGGATATACCATTGGTGCCTATCCCCAAGACTTCACACTCGTTGGCCCTCCTCTACAACCTATCCACGACTCCCAGAAGCCCTCCACCGGTCTGGCCGTCGATTCCGCGCACAACCTCTACCTAACATATCCTCGCAACTCGGGCCAGACACCGAGCAACGTGGTGGTTTGCACATCGTACAACGACGAAGAACCATGGCCGAATGCAGCTATCCAGAATTGCACCGCCGGTCAGGATCCGGCAACCTGCTTCATCAACGTCCAGAATATTGTTCTCGACGACCGGGGAAGGCTGTGGGTGGTCGACAGCGGAATTCCAGCCAACGCCAGCCCAGACACCAATGCGCTATTTGGAGGTGCAAAGCTCATGAGCTTCAATGAGACGACGGCAGAGCATCTTCAGACCTATGTGATACCCCAGGATCTATTATCGCATCGGATTAATATGAACGACATGCGTGTCAATACGACTTTGGGTGGACGAGAAGGATATGCTTTCATCACTGATGCTAGCAAAAACAGCTCGTTGCTAGCGGTGGATCTCGAGAACGGCAATGCGGTACGCAGACTGTTCAATACTAGTGTTGTTCGAGCAGACGAGAAGTACGTCGGTTCATATGGCGGCGAGCTCATCTACACCTGGAATGGCACACAAAAAGGTCATCTCACGACTGCCGCAGATGGTATCGCCTTGGGTACGTGAAATTGAGCTGATGTGTGCTCATGTTACTGACGGAATCATAGCTTCCGGCAACTTCTACTGGGGCGTTCTAGCCTCCCGTCGCTTTTATTACATCTCTCAGGAGATTCTAGTCGACCAAAGTTTGACAGATACTGAAGTCCTTGGCGCCGTACAGAATCCAGGCCAATGCGGTTCCGAGCAAGCTGGCTTTACCGCTGACGATCGCGGCCGAGTATACATCGCAGCGAGTGAACAGAACGCGATATACTACGTCGATACGCTGGAGTCTGGAACCAACATGACAGTCAACGGCAATGCGCCTGGAGGATCTGGTCTCATTCCACCGAATGACTATGTAGTAAAGACGTTGGTGAGGAACGCGATGATTCAACATGCCGATTCTATGGCTATCTTGGATGGATGGCTGTACTTCAACACCAATCAGTTGACACTAGGTCCTGGGTTCCAGTACAACAACACAGATAAGAGGAGAGGCCCTTTCCGTAGCTTCAGACTGTGGATCGGGAGGGGGCCAGCGGTGTAGCACGTATACTTGTACGTGCATTAGCAATCTGAGGTCGATGCAGTTGAAGCCGTAGCCGTACACTGAAGTTCCTGTATGTTGCATAAGGAACAGCTTAGATAGAGGTCGTTATCGTTGTGTACAAGCTCACACCTCGTGATGTTCACATCGTTCATGGCTGCTGGGGGAGTCTACTCATCATGGTGTGCATTTAGTGCCTCCTCGTTAAAGAGTCACGATGCCCCAAAGATGACACTTCATAATAGCAATCTTCTCATCTCATCCACCTGCAAAATACCAGTCGTTCCAAATTGTGAGGCTAAGTGCCGTTGTACCCACGAGATTGTGCACACGGACCCCTGTTTCCTTAACCCGCGAAACGCTATACCCCAAATCCGCTAGTGGCTTACCCCAGCTTCCACTTGTGTCATCGGCTGCGGTAACTGTCGGCTTTGGTCGTTCACAATACCAAACCTCGGCGGCAGTACATGAAGATGTTTCTTTCACAGAAAGAATCTGCACACAAATCACGCCCACCATGAAGTCATTCGCCAGCAGAGAAGCATCCCGCGTGTTTTCGCGCCCAAACCTCGCCCACCGCGCGTCAATTACTGCACCCAGGAATGCAAACATCCGCCTACACGAGCAGAGAAGAGGGTTCCGGGGGACAAAACGGCTATTGGTCGTCAAGCCTTACCTTTTGGCGGATATTGGAGAAGGTAAGTAGGCGAGTCAGAGATGCTGGTGGCTGCGGCTAATCATGCTGTGCCCAGGTATTACCGAATGCCAGGTTATCCAATGGTTCGTGAAGCCCGGCGCGCGCGTCGAGCAATTCGACCCTATCTGCGAAGTGCAGTCGGATAAAGCATCTGTCGAGGTACATGCCGTCTGGGACACAATCAGGGCGAGGACTAATTCCTGGCAGATCACCTCGCGATTCGATGGCATCATCAAGAAGTTGTACTACGAGGCGGATGACATGGCGAAGGTTGGAAAGGTAAGCTTGAACTCTGAAACGTACTACCAAATATGAGCTGATTCCAGAAGCCTCTAGTAGACATCGACATTCAAAGCGACATCTCTCCTGCCGACGAAGCCCTGCTCAACGGAGGATCAGGCAAACAAGACGACGAGGTCCTACTCACCGGAGGCGGCGGCACCCAAGAACAAAAAGCACAAAGTCCCACAGAGCCACAAGAACAGGGGATCGAGCTTGGGAGGAATGACACAAAGGCTGCGGCTGAAGACGTGCCTGGCTCAGATCAAAGCACGAGTCTACCATCCGAACCACCCACAACACAAAGACAGCCAGGCAAGCATGCGTCGCTCGCTACGCCAGCTGTGCGACATATGGTTAAGGAGCACAAGCTCAAGATCGAGGATGTAGAAGGCACAGGACGGGAGGGTCGTGTGCTCAAAGACGATGTACAACGGCACGTCGAATCGATGAAGCAAACCACTACAACACCATCGGCAACCTCGACCCCGGCCCCTATGAGCACACAACAAATGGAGGACCAAGTCAAGCAATTGACCCCAGTTCAGTCTGGCATGTTCAAGCAGATGACCAAATCTTTGTCCATCCCCCACTTCCTATACACCGACGCTGTAGACTTCAGCTCGCTCACGACACTCCGCAAAAAGTACAACACAGGCCGCGAAAAGCCAGAGCGGATAACGCCGCTGCCAATCATCATCAAGGCCGTATCGCTCACGCTCCAGCAATTCCCGCTACTCAACTCACATCTCGACACTACGACGAACCCGAACAAGCCACAAATCATACTAAAGGGAAGCCACAACATCGGCGTAGCAGTAGATTCGCCCGCGGGACTCCTCGTCCCTGTCATCAAGAACGTCCAAAACCACAGCATCGCCTCGCTAGCCCAAGAAATCCAGCGCCTCAGCTCGCTGGCACGCGCTGGCAAACTCTCATCCGCCGACCTCACCGGTGCAACCTTCACAGTCAGCAACATTGGCAGCATAGGCGGCGGTGCTGTGGCACCTGTTATCGTTGGACCTCAAGTTGGTATTTTGGGTATCGGGAAAGCAAGAGTGGTGCCGGCGTTTGGGGAGAACGATGAGCTGATCAAGAGGGAGGAGTGTGTGTTTAGCTGGAGTGCTGATCATAGAGTTGTGGATGGCGCGTATGTAGCGAGGGCGGCAGAGGAGGTGAGGAAGTGCTTGGAGGGTGTTGAGGCGATGCTTGTTAGGATGCGGTAGGGTGAGAGTTAGAGGCATGGTAAAAGCGAAATAAACACTTTACTTCATACTCCCGCGACTATCGTAGATCATTTCGTGGTATAACTGTTCGTCAACGGTTCTAGTAAGCTGTGTGTCATCAATATCGTATTGAATTTGTGGCTGTACTACAACCAACCTCCTGCTATCATCCGTAGAGTAGAAGCTAGTGTTCGCCATTGTCTTTGCACAACTCGGTGGTAAGAGCAAATATTTTGGTAGACTCTTTCTAGTCTTCCTAACCCCTCATGCCGATTTTTTTTGAATGGATCTCATGACTACGACGGAATACTGACAGCACACTCAAGCCGCACCCTTCAGCACCTGCTCAAGGCTGTTCTTGCTGTTCGTATACGTCTTCTCAAGGTAATCCTCCTTCTTATCCAGATTGCTCATCTCCTTGTTCAACGCCTCACTCTCCTCCTGGAGCCTCTTTTGCACATCTGGAATAGGCGTACAGACGAACCTGTTCATAGCAATCAGTCTCTGCATTCCATCTCATCCCACTTCCTCCCCCGCAGTCACGAGGGGCAAATATCGAGACATGCAACTTACATCTTGCCCACACCCTCATACACCTTTGTCTCTGCAGGCAGCGACGAGACTTCCGAGGAAGTGAGTTGCAGCATACGCCCTTCTCGTGTCCGGGCGGCTTTTTGTTGTTTGACAATGACGAGTTGTTGTTCGGCGAAGGCCTTCTTTTGGCTGATTTCTTGTAGGACCTGGGTGTTTCCCGCGTTAGATCCACGCTCTTTTCTTTATCCATCACATCGCAATGATTGACGCACCTTCTGCAAGGCCTCGTTTGACATGGACATGGTGGGCGGAGATTTGGTAATGTTGACGATTGGCTCGTAGGTCTCGTGAGAGCGCTGGCCTGGCTGCTGCTTCTCAAGCTTTCTCGGTTCGGCAGTTGCGAGAGACCCTGGGCGGATGTGATTGGCTGTTTGGATTCACCACCGAAAACTGCACCGTGAGCTTGCAGCCTCGGGAGCCAAGCTTTCCGACGTGTGCGGGAGGTATACGTCGGCTGTAGAAATGTGTACTGGGGGCGATTCCTTTTGCGCAGTAGTCCTTACTGTTTGCCCACGTGTGGCGTGGTAGTCTGGCAGCCTATCGCTGGAGCATGGGCCTCTCGTGTCGCGGATTGTCGCTCTCCAGTCTTTCCTTCCGCAAAAGCCGGTGCTAGATACAAGCTTGATAGCGAGGTCAAACACCTGCAGTTTCTCTTTCCTCAACCTCTCACTTCTTTCTTTTCCTCTTTCAAGATTTTCTGTAGAGTGAAGATGGCTGCGTTCTTTTCCCGTCTACCGTCGATACCGTACCCGCCTGAACAAGATGGGTTCTTCTCCCCGGTCACCTCTACGCTCGATTGGTGTGAAGAGGTTAGTTGAGAGGGTCATTGCGTTGGAGAAGCGCGTGCTAACCGTTTGAAGAATTATGTAGTCACGCAGTACTCTGCGGAGATTATCAACACGCTCACGAATCTGCTGTTCATGTACCTCGCTGCAAAAGGCATACGCAATTGCTTGAAGAATGGACATGACACAGTGTTCCTCGTGGCATTCATTGGCTATCTACTGGTTGGAACTGGGAGCTTTCTCTTTCACGCGACATTGAAATGTATGTTCGCTGCTGAATCAATCGTTCACACGCAGTATCTGATTCGTGTTAGATCCTATGCAGTTGGTAGACGAGCTTTCGATGATCTACACGACTTGCTTGATGAACTTTGCGACGTTCTCTTATGGCAAGTCAAGGCTGTACTCTACAATTCTTGCAATTGGACTTGTGTCTCTTGCCGCCTTCATAACGCTCTATTACCACTTCCTCCAGGACCCCACCTTCCATCAGAACGCCTATGCGATCCTTACAGCGATTGTCCTGTTCCGCGCCATGTATGTAATGGAGGTGAACATCCGCCCGCGGTTCAAGTCCAAGGAGAGGGAAGCAGCGAACCCGCGGCCGCACGGAGGTGTGAAGGCCGTACAAGAGAGAGAAGACGTGCGCGACCAAGAGATTCTCAGTAAGATGTGGCAGATGATTGCATTCGGCCTCAGCATCTTCCTGGGAGGCTTTGCTGTCTGGCACCTCGACAACGTGCATTGCTCGCAGTTAATCCAGTGGCGAAGGGAAATTGGTATGCCCTGGGGTTTCGTGCTCGAGGGTCATGGCTGGTGGTAAGTATTGCACTTATCTTAGAAAGACGAAAGCTCACGTAACCAGGCATCTCATGACAGGAACTGGTGCTTACTACTACATTGTATGGGGGGTATGGCTGCGACACTGCCTCAACTACAGGCAGGACGAGTATGAGCTCTACTGGCCCAACTTCTGGACGATGCCGCAGGTTGTCAAGCGACAGGCTGGTGGTCATGCAAATGGCTCAACGAAGAAGGAGCTATAGGCGGTGACGACGTGGAGTCTTGGGCAGGATTAGGTTCGCGTGTCAGGGAGAATTATGCATGTGCTTTGCAAGATCAGCGTTGTGCGATATTCCGCGCTGCGAACGACGATACGGATAGGCGAATTTGATAGGGGATGGGATGGGAACAACAAGTCCGCAACCGCCTCCAGTAGCACGTCTATCACGACATGAAACCAGCCAGTAATACAAGACACTGCAAAGCAGCGAAGCCATTCGACAGCAGCTCTTTGTGCCTTGCTAGTGCAGCTGTACATGTTCATGACTAGCCCCTTCAGCCGGCAGGCACCAGCTTTGGCGCGTTGTTAGTAAATAGCTCTAGCGCCGACGGCCCGTGCAGACGACCCACAGAGATCTTTAACGCACTCACCGCTTCTGCTCCTCCTGCTCTCCACACCAGCACCACCACCAGCGACCAGCCATAACCCAGCTCCTCGCATCTTCACCTCTCCAACTTCCATATTCCTCGCCCCAACCGCCAACATGCGTGAGATTGTACGTATCGCCCGCACTGCCGCCTAGTCGTGGCGCGTCGCTGCCCCGCGCCGAGACTCAGGGACAACACAAAGAACAACAGCTAACGACGTTTCTCTGCAACAGGTTCACCTTCAGACCGGTCAATGCGTAAGTTTCTATATCGCTCCTCTCTGTACAGACGACAGCTAACAATCTCCAGGGTAACCAAATCGGTGCCGCCTTTTGGCAGACCATCTCCGGCGAGCATGGCCTCGACGGCTCCGGTGTCTACAACGGCACCTCGGACCTGCAGCTCGAGCGCATGAATGTCTACTTCAACGAAGTGCGTCCCCCGATTACGCTTTTGGCAGATAAAAGACCAATACTGATCTACAGCAGGCGTCCAACAACAAGTTCGTGCCCCGTGCCGTCCTCGTTGACCTCGAGCCCGGTACCATGGACGCCGTCCGCGCCGGCCCCTTCGGCCAGCTGTTCCGCCCCGACAACTTCGTCTTCGGCCAGTCTGGTGCTGGTAACAACTGGGCAAAGGGTCACTACACCGAGGGTGCCGAGCTCGTCGACCAGGTCCTCGACGTCGTGCGCCGCGAGGCCGAGGGCTGCGACTGCCTCCAGGGTTTCCAGATCACCCACTCCCTCGGAGGTGGTACTGGTGCCGGTATGGGTACGCTCCTCATCTCCAAGATCCGTGAGGAGTTCCCCGACCGCATGATGGCCACCTACTCCGTCGTGCCCTCCCCCAAGGTCTCCGACACCGTTGTCGAGCCCTACAACGCCACACTCTCCATCCACCAGCTGGTCGAGAACTCCGACGAGACCTTCTGCATTGACAACGAGGCTCTCTACGACATCTGCATGCGCACCCTCAAGCTGAACAACCCCTCATACGGCGACCTGAACCACCTCGTCTCCGCCGTCATGTCGGGTGTCACCACCTGCCTGCGTTTCCCTGGTCAGCTCAACTCTGACCTGAGGAAGTTGGCCGTCAACATGGTTCCCTTCCCCCGTCTCCACTTCTTCATGGTCGGCTTCGCACCCCTCACCAGCCGCGGCGCCCACTCCTTCCGCGCCGTCACCGTTCCTGAGCTCACCCAACAGATGTTCGACCCCAAGAACATGATGGCTGCGTCTGACTTCCGCAACGGTCGCTACCTGACCTGCTCCGCCTACTTCCGTGGTAAGGTCTCCATGAAGGAGGTCGAGGACCAGATGCGCAACGTCCAGAACAAGAACTCCTCCTACTTCGTTGAGTGGATCCCCAACAACGTCCAGACCGCCCTCTGCTCCATCCCTCCCCGCGGCCTCAAGATGTCCTCCACCTTCGTCGGTAACTCGACCTCCATCCAGGAGCTGTTCAAGCGTGTCGGTGACCAGTTCACTGCCATGTTCAGGCGCAAGGCTTTCTTGCATTGGTACACTGGTGAGGGTATGGACGAGATGGAGTTCACTGAGGCTGAGTCCAACATGAACGACTTGGTCTCCGAGTACCAGCAATACCAGGAGGCTTCCGTCTCCGAGGGCGAGGACGAGTACGACGAGGAGGCTCCTCTCGAGGCTGAGGAGTAAGCTGGTCATGGCTGACGTCCCGCTGGGCTTGGTTGTTGGAAAATTTCACGTGTGGACACGAGCGTTGTAATTCGATTCGTACTTTGAGCGACCTGGCTATGATCAGACATGTTGCGAAAGTGACTAGACAGATATGGCAGGCGCCTCAGCTTCTTGTTAGCGAAAAGATGCTATAATCAAATATTGTCCACTAAACGGTGTATTGTGTATACTAATTACGTCTTACTAATCTCCTTCGCCATGTTCCCTCAGGTGTTCTAGGTAACCTACGAGCCTCTTTTTGATGATCACACCCACCAGTTGTCCTGTGCCCTCTTTGGTCACCATAAGATATCTTAGACCCAACTTGGAGAACATCTCGACAGCATATTCCAGAGGCGCTTTCGCGCAAATGCTCAATGGTGTCCGATCCACAAAGGGCGTCAAATCCATCTCCAAGCTCATCGGGCTCGTCGGCTCATCAATCTCCTGGCCTAGCAACCTAACCTGGACATCCTCTTCATGCGCCGACACAAGCACACCAGGAACGAGTTTCATCAATCCGAATTCGAGCTCCGACTGCGAAATGTACCCTTGCAACACTTCAACGCCGCCACCATTCTTCTGCACTAGAACAAGACCCGCGTCCATGAGACCCCGTTCTCTCAACGCATCCAGCTTCTCTTTTAGCAGAGTCAACGCTACTTTATTGCTTGTAGGTACGTGAACGGTAATGTCATCCATGGTGCGCTGAGGAGGGATCAGGACCTCGACGCAGGCTTTGTGGCTGCGGACGATGGATAGAGCGGTGTCTGGGTCGAGGAAAGGGTGAGAAAGAAGTGATTGAGCAAGGTCGTAGACGCCTTCTGAGGAGATGGCGTCGGCGACCCATTTCGCGGTTAGGATGGCGAGCATAGACGGGACGGTGTAGGAGAGTTGGCCTGTGAGTTCGAACATCTACACAGAGCGTTAGTTGACGACGACGACTACTGAAAGGAAGTGGAGTTGAGCACTTACTATAACAGCAAGGGAAATGGTCATCCGAGACACACCCGCCAGAAACGCAGCAGCACCCACCATGGCGAAGATACCCGGACTGATCGAACCGATAGCCTGACCCACCAGCCTCCCAAAGAAAGCACCCGCATCCAGCGCTGGAATGATAACGCCAGACGGAACCTTGATCCCAAACGTAATAGTAGTAAGAACAAGTTTCGCCAACGTCCCATACGTCAACCAACCCACATACTCCCAATTCGTCGTCCCGGCCTCCATGGCAGCCCTCTCATTCCGACAAACCCAAGACACACTCGACCTACCCTCCCCACAATCCACCAACAAGTTCTTAATAATAACATCCCCCGGCTCGCGCGT